TGTGAAGGACAGCACTGAGCTTGTGCCATGGGGGCAGCAGGGTGCCACTGCTCCCAGCCCATGCTGCCTGCTCCAGCAGCTAGTGTCTCTGCTCGGCCAGAAGCTGTGAGGGACAAAAGCAAACTGTCTGTGAAGGGTCTATCCCTTGGTATCGATTTGTCAAGGCCCTGGGGTCCCGGGGGCAGGTAGGAGGGATTCCAAAGGGTAAGCCAGTCACCGCAATGTCAGACACGAAGTTGGGAATGGAAGTAAAAGGTAAGGGAGCCAGAGTGGAGAGGATCGAGCCAAGTTGCCAGGTCTTGGGCAATTTCAAGCCCAAGGCTCTGAGCCAAGGACAAGCCACTGTGCCTAAAATAACCTCCCAAGAGAGTCTTAACTGACCATTTGGTAATCATTATCCCAGTTCTGACTTTTAGGTCAATGTCATTAGCATTGACTGGACCCCTATCATACGTTAGCACCGTGAAAGGTACAAAGACCTGGTCTTCTGCAGAGACAGGGCAAGCGCACAGGACACAATGAGAGCGCTGTATAAAACAATACATAATGCAGTGCCAACCTGTGCGGTCCCAGCCACAAAGCCAGCTGGAATCCGCAGAAAGGAAAGAGCAGAGTGTGCTGGCACAGGCAGTGGGGGCTTCTTGGAGCACAGGACCTGAAAGGAGGAAGACAGAGTAGAAGAGAAGAGCTTTTCGGGTAGGAGGAAGAGGGGGAGCAAAGGTGAGGCGGCAGCAATGAGAAGGAATTGTTTCTTGGGCTGTATGAAACTCATCTGTGGAACAAAGGATTCTTGTTGGAGAAGAATAGTATCTGAAGTTAGATGAGCAGGGAAGATCAGATGATAGAGGTCTCGGATCCAAGAATATTGGTCAAGTAAATTTAACGTGCAGAATCCAAAAGTTCGTCACGTGGGCAATGAGAAATCATCCGGGCTTTGAAAAAGGCAATTAAGAATAAAAATTTAGGGCTTCCCTGATGGCGCAGTGGTTGAGAGTCTGCCTGCCGATGCAGGGGACACGGGTTCGTACCCCGGTCCAGGAAGATTCCACATGCCGCGGAGCGGCTGAGCCCGCGAGCCATGGCCGCTGAGCCTGCGCGTCCAGAGCCTTGTGCTCCGCAACGGGAGAGGCCACAACAGTGAGAGGCCCGCATACCACAAAAAAAAAATAAATAAAAATTTAATTTTAGGGAGATTTATTTGGTGGTAGTGTTTGAGATGGATTAGAGATGAAAGGACTAAAGGCAAAAAAAAAAAACAAAACTGTCAAATAAAAACAAAAACAAATAAACCCTGAATGCTTCTTGGGTATCCACTAAAAGTCTGACTGCATGCAAACTTAATAATCATAGTCTATCCCCTGCCAGTCCAATGGGGAAGACATTCATTAATCCCATAGTTACCTATTAAGGACCTGCTATGTGCCAAGGATTATACTGGGTCCTGGGGACGCAGTGAAGAATAAAACAAAACTCTGGCCCTCATAAAGGTTAGCGTCAGGTGGGTGTGGAAGACAACACAAAAGCAAACCAATAATTACATCAATGTAAAGCCAGGTACGAAGTGCTAGGAAAGAAAATAAAGCAGGGCATTGGGCAGGGAATGGTGTGATAAACAGGTCAGGGAAGACCTCTAAAAGAAAATGTCACAATATTTCAAACCCAGAGAACAGGCAAAATGGAGATGCCACCGCTAGAAATAAGAATATTGAGAAGGTGACTCAGTTTGGAAGAGTACAGAGAAAGTGGGGAGTCTTGTTTCAAGTGCGGCAGGCTTGTGTTAAAAGCAGGATATCCACACAGAAATGTCAGGACACTAGAACTCTAATGTACAAGATCAGATGAAGATAAATTAGGTTAGCCATGTAGATTTTAAAATCATCCATTGATATTTCAGCGATAAGAACCTTCTCTCCAAAACTAATTTACATGAAATGAAAATAACTCAAGGACTGAAAAAATTGGAGTATAAGATACACAAATAGTTTTATCATATCTCCTGTGATGATCCCCATGCTCCAGCCTCCTGGAACCTCAGGAATTGGGCAGTGACTTTGATAGGCAGCAAGCTAGTAACAAAATAATAATACTATAATTGAGGCTCATACACAACCAACCTTCCAAAAGATGTCTGTCCCCTGTTCCTTCAAACCCCTAAGCACGGTTGTTGGGATAGCTCTATTCCTCTTCTGTACTGACTCCTTGGACCATATGTTGCCCCTTTGTGATTGCTTCTTCTGCTGATACTTCTGAATGTTTTAGTGTTTGGGAGAAAGGAATTTGGCAAGCAAAATGAACAAATTTTAAACTGACCAATCCTGCTTTCCTAGAAATGGCAGGAATTAACGTTGGGATAGACTCATAGGCTCCAGTTTGCCCGGAACAGTTCCAGTTTCGGCACTGTAAGTCCCGTATCTTGGAGAAACCCCTCAGCCCTAGGCAAACTGGGATGGTTGGTCACCCTACAACTGGTATGACCTTGACTGCTATACCCTATGTCTGACGTGCATGATGCAACACAAGGCTTTACATCTCTAAAGAGACAACAGCGCAGTCAAATCACGTGCTTAGTTTCCCAAGCCCTAGCCAAACTGCTACCCTAGAAACTGGGTACTCTTTCCTACCCAGACAGAGGAGGTGTGTCAGAAATTTCTAGGCATGTGGTGACCCTGGATTCCTCAGCCTTCTATTCCCACCATCTCACACTCAGCTCCAGCTACCACCTAAACAAGGAACACCAAATCCACCAGTGACCCCAATCCATGGCACTGGCCACCCTCTCTGCCCAGCCCTGGCCAGCAAGCTGGTAGGGCCTGGGGCGGTGGTCAAAGTTGGATTATCAGAGAGGGAAAGAGGAGAACCCATCTGAGATGGTGACGTGCTGTACCACAGCAAATCACAAGAAAGGGGAACCCCATATAAATTACAGTCTGCTGACGTTGGGAGGCGTGCAGTTTGCGTCTTTGAGTTACAGAAATACTAGAAATGCTCACTGAACAGTCCATTTCGGAGTTTTGGGTCCAAAGCTCCAAAGGGCTGACTCACCTTCAGAGCAGAAACCACGTGAAAGCCCTGGTATTAAGGTGTACAGCATACGCTAATTCAGAAGCCGTAGTATTTGAAACTCATACAGATCTTGGGTAAGCTCACAGATCATTTCCGCCGGTTATTAGAGGCTTCTCCAAAATTATAAGGAAGATTCAAAGAAAATGCCAAGACTGATATTCATCCCCCCTTGTTACAGAATTTTCCTGCCTCACGAGGTGAAAAGAATAAATAAGCAGGGGACACAAGCCTCCAGGAATCATCCCTCTTTGGCCCTTTGTCACCTTGACTGCTTGTGTACATATTAAAATGTAGAATTTCAAATAAGCTCTTTAGGTATCCTTGCCCAATTTGCACACACAAATCCTACTAACTGAACTACTAATAGCCAAGGTGAAGGGTAGACGTAACTGTTGCCTTTTTAAAATGATTTGTCTAGGAAATTGCCTCAGACCCCAAAGAAAGATTACTGTTAAAATTTCCAAGGACCCAAATACGTGAGCCCTGCAACAGCCGTTTCCTGGTCCCTCCCCGCAAGGCTCAGCCTGACTGACTTTGCTGTTGCAAGATTGCATCACTGACTTTTGCAATTTTCTGGCCAGTCCAATTTCCCCCTCCTCTCTTTGCCCTCTCCCTTTCTCTGCTTGAAGCGCTTTTAGCCCAAGGTCTCTCCTTTCCCCTACTTGCTAACTAACTCTTGTATATGGATAACCAAAGCTAAACCAGAACACCCGCCGCAAAGGTGATGAAGTTTAATCCTAGTTGAAATCAACCCTACCCTCCTCATGCTTCCTAGAGTACTCTCTACTCTTCAGCTTCTTACCCAAGCTGCCTACTCTCACTCTTCTGTCCCTAAACTGTTTCTATGCTAAGTGGAGCTGGTACGGTGGCGTTGCCCCCCAGATCCAGGGAAGTGGCATATAATTATTGAGGAAAGTATGAAATATTTGCAGTTCAGACCAGCAGACAAACTTTTACCAATGGCCCTCCTTCCATGTTCACCTCTCCCTAGCCCCCAACTTCACTTCTCAAGTGGGAGTGGGGACAATTTGGATTTAACGGCAGTTCCCTGATACACAAAAGTACAGATACAAACACCTACAGGCACAGAGACTGACATCACACACACACACACACACACACACACACGCCCCCATCTGTGCATAAAGGGCACCCTCAATGAATAGTTATCTATCAAGTGACCCTAGCGATGCAAGCACCTATGAATAAAACCAGTCAGACCAGAAATAAACAGTATAAGCACAAAGTGCATTATGCAGAGCCTGGAGACCCGTTCTGATCATTACCCGGATCCCTCCCCCTTGCCTTCTACCTCGGATCCCTATACGTGTGGGAAGACGACAAACCTCCTGAATAAAAACTAATTTTTCAGTTAGGTAGAACCCCAGGTGTCTTTATAAGGGGTCCTTCCAGGCTGCCCCGGACGAGTGAAGCTGTGACCCCACCCACACGATTAGGAAAGAGGTCAGGGGCTTCCCTGGTGGCGCAGTGGTTGAGAGTCCGCCTGCCGATGCAGGGCACACGGATTCGTGCCCCGATCCGGGAAGATCCCACATGCCGCAGAGCGGCTGGGCGCGTGAGCCGTGGCCGCTGAGCCTGCGCGTCCGGAGCCTGTGCTCCGCAACGGGAGAGGCCACAACAGTGAGAGGCCAGCATACCAAAAAAAAAAAAAGGAGGTCAGAAATGGACGTGGATACCTCCCTGGGCTCTGGGTCCTCACCCTTGTACATCCAGGCCCGCCCTCCCCCGCACCCCGGGCTCACACAGCCTGCGCGACGTGCACATCTCGTGGCTGACTCCCCCAGGGTCCTTGCCCCGCTCCTCCCCCGCCCTCCTCTTCCCGCCCCCTCCACTCTCTGGCCGGTGCAGCACTGGCCCCAGCCCAAAGATCCCAGGAGGCGGGGCTCGGAGAAAAATATATAAGTGGCCCCGGGGCGCTGACCAGGTGTCAGTTGCGGAATCTCCATCCGGAAGACCCGCGGCTACCGAGGAAGGGGAGGAGGAGGCGGAGGAGGAGGAGGAGAACGCAGAGCCGCGGGACCCACGCACACCGTGACCGCCCACCCGGCTTGCGCTGCCTGCTGCTCGCTCGACGCCCCTAGGTGAGTCCGGCCGGGAAGAGCGCGGCGGGGCGCGGGGTCCCGGGTGGGCTCCCCTCTCTGCAGGCCTACCCCGAGAGAGCCGAGTGAGGGCTGCTCGGGAGGATGCATCCGTCTTTCGGTGGCTTAAAAGCCCCCTTTTCTGCTCCGCTTCTCCCGCAGATCACTCCCACCCCGAGAGCCCGGAGCCGAGATGGAAACTGTCCAGGAGCTGATTCCTCTGGCCAAGGAGCTGATGGCGCAGAAGCCCACACGGAATCTGGTGAGGCTGTACGTGCTGGGCGGCGTGCTGGCGCTCTTCGGCGCCGTGCTCGGCCTGATGGAGACCTTGTGCAGCCCCTTCACGGCCGCCGACAGCCTGCGGGAGCGGGAGGCAGCGGTGGCCGAGCTGAAGGCCGCCCGGGAGCGAAAGGCCCTCCGGGCGCGGGCCCTGCTGGAGAAAAGCAAGCAGCTGGAGGCCGTCCAGGGCTGCCGGGCCCCGACCAACCGGCTGCACGCCTCGTAGGAACCTTGGGGGCCGGCGGAGGGAGGGGGAGAGAGACACACAGGGAGAGGAGAGTGAGGCAGAGCGCGAGGGTCGGGCTCGAGTGGGCGTCTCGTGCTGTTAGGACTAACGAGAAGCTACTGATTTTAGAACTGAACTACCACGTGGATCCACCAAAAGGCGTTTGGGATTGAGTTTTGCTGCTGTGCAGCACTGCAGAAAGATGACATGTCCAAAACCTTCCAGCTATCAGACTGCATCCAGCATTTTGCACTAGGGTGAACGGAGGAGAAATGCTTTTTATATTATTATTGTTGTTATTGTTATTATTATTACAGTGACCACCATTTTGCATTTTGAAATAAAAAACGTTTTGTATTATATCTCAGCATCTGATTCCTGAGGGGCACGGTTTTCTGGGGTGGGCAGCAGGGAGGGCGGGCATTTTGGAGGAGGGGGTCTTCTTTACATGAGCCCAGTGGAGAGAGCAGTTTCCTGAAGGTCAGGCAACACTGGCTTCAGGGCTCTGGACTCATATTGATGTTACATGCTTATAAGTCTGTTAAGGATTTGTTTTTGCTTTGTGTTAGGAGTGGCAAGAGAGAAACTTTTCTAAGTCCCACCAGACTCAGCATTTTAAGATCAGAAGATAAATCAACTTCTGAGCTAGAGTAAGTGAATGAGAGATACTGCTTAATTCTAGGGCACAAAGCCTATTTGCCATCTCACACCTGTGCACCAGAGGATCTCGTGGTTGATACCTCTTTCTTCCTAACTGTATTTTAGTGGAGGGGGGTGGGGACAGTGAGGGGGAAGGAGGGGTGGAGGGAGGGAGGGAGGGAGGGAGGAAACTAGCTAGCTGGTAGGAAAAGAGGGAAGGCAATCTCCCAAGAACATTTAATTGGATGTCTAGCTCTACCAAGCCCTTCTCCTCACAAACTGAATCACAGTAAGAAGTTCTAGGTTAGGAGGGGAAAAGACGGGTTGTCACAGTCCTGAGTCATCTTCCTCCAGGGACAGAACTTGCTCTGTGGTAATAGCTAGTCCAGTGGCTCTATAGGGCTCAGCATAAGGAATTTTAAACAATGGCTCTTAAAGAAGTAGTTAGGGGCATAGGCCTGATGCCACTCCCCTGGTGATTTTAATACGTCTCCTGCCCTAACCAGGTACAGACATTTCCCTCTCTCCATCCATGGCTATGCATTTTTGCCAAACATAGCAAGGCTCGTGCCATCGCCTCTGACCAGACTCTCTCTCCACCACCACCCTCTTCCCTCACACACACCCTTCCATTTTATTTCTGCCAGCTCAAATCCTACCCAGTGTTCCTGGCCCTGATCTAGTGCCATCTCTGATATCTATCCTTATCACTCCAAACAAGAGAGCCGTCGGAATGGGGTGAGATTAATCAAGGGAAAAGACACGTATTTAAAGGAAAAGAAGAATATCAGTGGAACCACTGTTCTCGCAGTTTCTAAAATGGGAAACTTGACCCTATATTAAGGTGACATAACCTCACCTTAAATGTCCAAAAAACTTCTCAGGAATCCACCCCATCTTATTCTTCAGTTTTCCTTCCCAAGTGCCTCTCCTATTACGTCTATTATTCTTCCACCCATGCAGCCACCCTCTGGTCCAGCTGTCAGCATCTCAAACCGCCTCCTGCACTCTCTAGCACATTCACCCCAAAACATCCCTGCCAGACTGGGGACTGTGACCTTCGTTCATCCTGCTGCTCCTCCCTCAAAAATGTCAGCGCCTAAGACCCCTGTCCAGATTTTCCAGTGTCCCCGTGATCTGCTTGCATCTCAGCCCTCCCACCTGATGTTCCGCATGAACCCAGGACCTTCCTAGTCCCTTCTGGTCTTTCACACCTTTTTTCACATTACTCTTCCCACCTGAATGCCTGTCCATCCACAATCGCCACACCTTCTGAAGGCATAGACCTCAGATTCTCCAAGAGAGGGATAATTTCAAATACTCTGCCTCTTGTCAAACTGTATATCAAATCATGTACTCCAATTTTTGGTTTAGAAGGTAATGCCTATATTTTTTGGTTTGCCTATATGTAAAACTACATATATTTTACATATTTGCCTAAATATATAGGAAATGCCTGTGTGTTTTTAGTTTCGAAGGGTATGCCTTTTACCTATACGTGTACAAACTACCCAACCCAATCAAATCCAAGCTATAGAAATCTTTTCTGTCCTCACTGATCTTTTCACTTCTCTGAATTCCTACGAGACATTCAGTCTGGGTCTCATACTGGATCACGCAGTAATGGACATTTTTGTCCCAGTTGTTTTATGGAGGTGATCAGATGTGAGCTTGTACTACTTTCTAGTGAAAACAGATACTAGGTATCAACTGTGAGAACATTTAAAAGTCTCACACTTTCTTAGGAAAAGTTTGATTGCTGTGTAATCATGGTAACCAGAACCAGTTTTAAACCCATTGGCTCAATCAATCACAACTCTTCTCAGGTAACACACTTTTACAAGCCAACCAATCAGTAACATTCCCTCACTTCTAAGGGTCATTTAACCATGAAGTGACTCAACCCCATAAATATATTTCAGAGTGCCAACCAATCAACAAATAAATATGCTTCTACAGATATCAGCCCACTTATGACCAGGAAAGTACACCAAACTCTGAACTTCCTGCTTTCCCAAAACCAAAAGATATACTTACCGGGTTCCTTGTGTTCAGACTGTATTTGTCCTTCAGATCTGCTGCCAGATAAGTCAGTCTCAACGATAGTCTGAATCTGATGAGCTTCACTGAGTTCTCACGGCTTCTAAAATTTCTAACCAAGTACGTCTTTGTATAAAATCATTAGATCTCAGTCTTTGTGTAAAGTAAATAGAAATTTTAGTTTACAGATGTACATTCTGGTAAATAATTATACCTAGGCCTTTGTATATGGCCATTAGACATTTTGTCTGGGAGGTATACTATTGAGTAATTAGACATAGGTCTTGTATAAGTTCATTAGACTCTTTTATTGGAGGCATACCATTTGATAACTGCATTTGCCATTAAACTGCTAATCCCCTGCTGCTCACTTTGCTTTTGCTTTTGTTTATCTATATTGTAAAGTTTTATTTTATGTGTTTTTGTTTTGTACTGAAAAGCCTTATTTCTGATACACAGATAAAGAAGTGTTCCATATAGAATGGCCCAATAAGTCAACAATCCAATCCAAGCTGGTCCTAGGGGACAACAGTTGGAGCTCCATTAGATTGTGACCAATTCAGGAAAAGGTAAATGATCAAACTTGGCTTTGGGTCTCCTTAAAACTTTGTTGAGAGCCGCTCTCTATCTCACCAAGATGTAAAAGAAGGTCACTTTTAGTCTGTATTCTGAGGTCAAAGATTGTCAGGTCATTGATTACATGGCCCCTTCCTAACTTTTGCATAGAAAGGGAGCCCAAGATACCATTCACAGGCACACATTCTTACTAAGTAGCCTTTCTTGTCTTTCTTGGGTTCTTCTAATCTGCAAACTCCTCTTGAAAGAACTCCTACTTCCTGTTGCACTATAATCCCAGTTCTTGCACTTACTTCGATAAAGCGCAAAAACTGAGTTTAGAATAACGATCGTCAACATGGCGGAACTTTTGACATATCAAAATCAATAAATTAATTCATTTGACGAACCCCCAAATAAATTAATACATTTAAGAGGAACCCCAGAAATCTAAAGAGTCAGTAGTTAGCTTCTTTGATTAGTATGCTGAGGTCTAAAAAACAAAATTCTAATTCCAACATGGCCTCCCGCAAAGACTCTAGTACCTTCTGAGATCCACCCTAATTTCATTTCTCTCTCTTCCACTCACCTTTCTCCGACCTTCTATATGAAACACCCTTTTTTTCAGAGTTTTCTTTAGAAAAGATGCAATTACATTGTAAATCTGCTAAACCAGAAGGCATCCCTAAAGAAGTTAAATTTAAACCCTGATCTGGAGCCATATTAAGAGTTAAAATTAAGGATCTTCCTAAATCTCAGAAAGCCAGGTAAAAAATTTTACATAATTTAGGATTTTATTTGGTACTTATTCTTCTGGACGAGATCTTTACCAACTAGTTCAGTGAATTGTTAATCCTTCAGCTGGAGAAAAATATTTAAAAGCAGCAGGGTTAGAAAGGAAAATTTTAAATAAGTCAGCTGTGTAAAATGAAAAAAAAAGTGTTTTAAGGGGGGCAAGAAAAAAAAACAGAAAACACAGTACAAAACACAATTCTAGGGCTTCCCTGGTGGTGCAGTGGTTGAGAGTCCGCCTGCCGATGCAGGGGACACGGGTTCGTGCCCCAGTCCAGGAAGATCCCACATGCCGCGGAGCGGCTGGGCCCGTGAGCCATGGCCGCTGAGCCTGCGCATCCGGAGCCTGTGCTCCGCAACGGGAGAGGCCACAACAGTGACAGGCCCACGTACCGCAAAAAAAAAAAAAAAAAAAAAAAAAAAGACAATTCTAGAAGCCTTTCTTTTAAAGATACAGTGGACAAAAATTCAAAATTATAAGTTAAAAATGAAAACAGACTTCGGGAAACTTTCAAAGAGCATTCTGGAGTAAACCCAGCAGTTGAAGTATTAACCCAGGACCTGGCAAGGAGCAGGTGTTCATTAAATATTTGTTGAATATAGAATAAGTAAATGGATGAAGAAAGTAAACTTTTTGATGACCCATTGTTATCCGTGCCTTTCGTCCAAAAGAATGGAAACCTCTGAATTGGGATGTGACCCTCCATCATTAGTTGGTGTGAATCAGGCTGGCATTACCGTCCCTACTTGTGGAGACCCTACCCCATGTGGATCCGTCTCCCCACTGCCGTCCACTCCACACTCCTGCTGATGTGATCGCCGTAATGGTCTATAAGTCATCTCAATGATTCCTAAGCAGTTTATAACTAAGAAACGCGTAGACACGCCGCCTCACAGAGTACATTAGGTTGCTGGTCTCTCTGGGTGGGAAAGGAAAATCTGCCCAAACCCAGTTCTTGTTTTAATTATTTCCTTTGAGGCAAAGCCAGGAATCTGAGAGTGAGCGCTTGCTAAGGGTGGAACAGGGGTTCTGCCTGGTGTGCCTCTGGCATGTTCAGAGCTAGCAATAGTAATGGACAAGTCTCCAGGGCAACCAGGACCACTTCCAAGCATTCCCACCGTGGGCCGCTGCAGGGGCCCTCTATTCTTTGGGGAGCCCTGAACTGGGCTCATCTCCCAGTGCCTCCTGGCTGCAAGCTCAGTCCTAGCATGAGGGCTTTCTTCCTTGGCCCTTCCTTCACCTTCTTGTATCAGGTGGCAGACCAGCTGGTTCCAGTCCCGAATCAGATCTTCTGACTCCTCCCAGAAACCAACCACCTTCTGAGCAGGAAACCCT